TTTTTTTTTAATAACAATAGATTGGTAATAGACAATAAAAAATGTTGCAAAAACATTAAAAACTGAACTGATAATGAATTGGCAAATCAAATTGGTTTTCAATAATTACTAGTCGCAGTAATAATTGTCTATAACCAATCTATTATTATTAAAAAAAAGTCACCAAAAATTTTATCATACCTATTGTTATTAAAATAAATCCCAAGAAATTTTATACCTAGTATCTTTTGTACTATACCAATTAATTTGTCATAAAAAATTCAAGAAACTGATCTATTGTATTAATAAAAAACCTTAGAAAATTCTTTATATCTATCCATTATAAGTTATAACATACCAATCTGTTGTTATCAAAAAATTTTTTATATTGATCTAATGACTCTATTGTTAAAAAAAAAGTTCAGAAAATATATTTATATCAATCTATTATTAAAAAAAAAAATTCAGAAAATTTTTTTATATCTATTCATTGTACCAATCTATTGTTAAAAAAATCTCAAATTTTTTTTATATATCTTAATCTATTTTATAAAAGTTTATTAAGTTATCTATTACCTATTAGTAGTATTAGTATTACTGGAAAAAATTTTACAAAAAAACAATTATTAACTTAATAAGTTAATAATTGTTATTAGTTATTAAAAAAATCACAAAAAACTTATTAAATAAATCTATTGTACTATGATACCAATCTATTGTTTAATATTAAAAAAAAAATCACCAAAAATTTAGCATACCTATTGTTATTAATATTAATCCCAGAAAATTTTATTATATCTATCTATTGTACTATACCATTATATTATTAAAAAAAAAAATCCTAGAAAATTTTTTTATACCAAACTATTATTAAAAAAAAATCTCATTAAATTTTTTTATAAATCTCACTAACACAATCTATTGTTATAAAAAAATCTTTTATTAATTTATTAGTATACTTTCAAAAATAAACTCACTCACTATATCCAAAAGTACACTAGTTATTACTATGAAGATCCCGATGGATAAATTTTTTTTTGTGAATGACATTAAGTCTAGAAAAAAGACTGGTTAGTGTTAATCTTATTTATAATAATATCATTTAATATTTGTAATTACCCTTCCGTAATTTTCCACAAAATATATAATTTTTCGCTCCATGAAATATTCATAAAATTCTTTTGCAAATAATTATGTAAATTACCGCCATTTGCATATTCCATTATTAACATGTAATCTTTTGTTTCAGGATCTCGCGTAACACCATGAATTTTTGTAATATATGGGCTATAACACTGAACAAGTGATTTCACCTAGAATAATAATGAATAATTCATAAGGACGCTTAAATATAATATTATTAATTAAATGTACTTACTTCATTTATAAAATAGGTGCTTATATCTTGCGAGTTAAATAATCTTTTTACGGCAACTATTTTATCTAACAAAGTCGCTGAATAGATGATACCATATCCTCCTTCCGCTATTTTCGCTAAATTTTTGATTTGAAAATATGGAATCCACTTAATTTGTGTATTAAAAAAACTTGCAAGTTTATTATGAATGAAATCATATACTTCTTGTGGTTTAAATGGTTCATAGAATGGATGGCGATTAGCAAAATCAGCAATTTATATTATTATGTACTTGTACATGTACATGTACATGAACATGAACATGAACATGAACATGTACAGTACATGTACATGTACAGAGAAAGTGAACATTCACTATGGAAACTTTTTGCGCTGAGTTTAACTGTGCTGCTCAAAAAGAATGTTAA